GTCGTAAGAACCTCAGGGATTGAGAATGGGGGAGGCAAGAGATTCCTCGCTGTTTCCAAAGCTGTTACGGGCAGCAGAGTAAATGGAGGTTGGCAGATGCTTGCCTCATGGTCTGACTTCCTCGCTTTATAGATGGGGGGGATGCAGGTCCAAGGAGAGGACTATCTAGGAAGCTTGTAACACAGCTTGGCTCCACTGCTTTCTTGCCTTCCAAAGATTCACCTCCAAACATATCACACAAAAGGCCCAGACATGGAGAAGCCCACCTTGCCCCTATGCCCCATTTGTCTGTTTCTTATGAGGGAAGGAGGAGGAACTCAGGGCGGGGAGGCTTAGTGAAGCCTTGATCAGAGCAACTCAGAAATGGTTCTCCTGGCAGGTCTTGGTGCCAGCCTCCATCCAGGTGCTGCTCTTCCTGGGGGAAAAGGAGGCTGCTCTCCAGCTGGAGACATTACCTGACGTCCAGGTAATGCGTGGGTGGAGGGAGGTGGTTGCCTTGAGCTGAGCTGGAGTGAAGGAGATGGAGCTAGAAGAGGCCTTCAAATAATCTAGTGCAGGTCAACAAATGCCAGGCCTGGGTGCTCCAGCCCTCCAAACCTGCCCCCTGGCAGGTATCATCCAGCCAAACATAGAATTACTTCTCCCTGGCAGCCTTTATCAGGGAGTTCTGGTGGCGTAGTGGTTAAAGCATTTGGCTGTTCACCAAAAGGTTGGTGGTTTGAACCCACCAACCGCTCTGTGGGAGAAAGATCCTGCAGTTTGTTTCCATGAAGATTTATAGCCTTGGAGATCCTATGGGGGCAGTTCTACTCTGTCCTGTAGGATCACTGTGGATTGGAATTGACTCGTTGGCAGTGGGTTTGGCAATCCTTATCAACTCCTGGTGGGTCCTCCCATGTAATTGAGAGTTGCGCATGGCATGAAGACTACTCAGCAAGCTTCACTTGGTCAATCGCCCCTTTCTTTTCAGATACAGAAACTGAGGCCCAAGGTCACATAGCAAGCTAGTGGCAGAGCCAGGTTCTCCAGACTCGTAGCCAGTGCCTTTCCCCCCCTGCTGCCTTATTCTTCCTGTATTTCTGTCCCTAATTAATACAAATGCTGAGCTGATTCAGGACCTTGCAGGCAAAAGCCCTGCAGCTCCCTTTAATTAGTGCCATATACCACAGTAATGAGCATGGGCACCTGGTCCTCTGCCCTGCTGTGGGAGGTGATTTAGAATGTCTCCTTCTTCTTCCTGGTTAGTAAAGAGGCACACGGTGAGCTAGAGATGTGCCTTTCAAACTTAAATGAGCCTATCCATCACTTTGGTTTTGTTTTTGTTTTGTGCCATCGAGTTAGACCCGACTCATAG